GAAGGAAATAAGAGCAATCAAAGTTAACCCAAGCCAATTCAAGCAAGAACAAAGGAATTAGGGGCTGTTCTTACCGAAAAAAATGCCCAGAAATCACCCACAATCAAGAGCAGCCGGCGGAAGGACAAAGCAGAGAAGGGCAGATCCGGCTTTTCCAGCAGAGGGGGGGAAGATTTCTGGGTTCTAGGTGTGTTCTAGAGCAAGAAAGGAAGGAGAAAACCAAGCTTATCTCACCGGTTTCTCAAAGGCATGGCTGGGTTCCCCTTTTTTTTTTCGGGCGGCTGCAGCGGGAAGACAGAGCAGAACACGCGGGGAAGAAGAAGAAAAGAAAGAAAGAAAAAGGAGAAAAGAAAAGAAGTCATCCTTATCCAAAATCTTTCCCTCTTTAAGTCCCTCAAATTTCAAAATATTCACATTAGGCCCCAAAACAATCTTTTCTCACAATCAAGTCCTTAACTTACACTTAAATATTCCCGAAAATTTGGGATATTACACTTAACCTTTTAAGTTAATTGTCAATCAGGGATTCTGATGGAGGAAACATACGAAGTGCTATTTTTTTTAAAATATTTACATTCTTTCATTCATAATAGGGTGTTAATAGGACATAGAGATATAGTTTGGCACATTTGTTAGGTTTTAATAGTTGGTTTTGAGAATATAGTGACTCAGGTTGCTTTTAAGCTTGCTGCAGTTACTTATTTGGGTTTTACATACCATATTGTAATAAATAGTCCAAGCAAAGTCTAATAGGATTTGAGGCAACCATTCATGCTCTGCATGTCTCTTACTATACTTTTATTAATATTTATCAAAGTTATCTTCCCATAAAAAAAGGGGGGTCTAATGTGAACTTTTGTCCTTAAACTATGTCTAGATACACTTTTTTTTTGCTCTAAAATAATTTTTGCATATTTTTAATCTTTTAACTTGATATTGTGCACTTTTCCTTGCTTGAGAATAATCTTTTGCAGTTTTTTTGTTCCTTAACTTAAACAACGTTAAATTTTTTATCAATGAAAGTCTAGTGACCCAATAAATTAATTAAAAATTAATGTTTTCAAATTTTTAATGATGTGTACATGGTTAATAAGACTTTCTCTTCCACAAGTACATAATAGCTTACCTGAAAAAAAAAACTTTTGATCTTCCTCCCTTCTTTCTCCCCCTCTTATTTATCTATTCATTCTTCTTGTAGTGGGATCTCAAGCATGGCAAATTATCGTGGTTCTCTCACTATTTCTTGAAAGTTTGAAAAAATTAAATATTTTAATTGACTTAATGATTCATGTGAACTTCCATTAATGGAGGGATCGAAACGTAATCAAGTTGTAGGATTAAAAGAGGTGCTATAAAAAAATTGTTTGGCGCGAAAAAGTGCATCTAGACAATGTTCATGGGCCATCATTAAATGAGGAAAGAAATTAAGAAATTACATTTTCACATAATCCATTACTAAACCCGATCTATACATGAGTTAAGAAAACGTAGGGTTTTGCCCTCTTAATACACATCTGGTAGCTTAGCCAGTTAGTAGAAGGGGAAAATGGTCTCTTGATTAGGGATATGTGAAAAGAAAGTTGTCGTCGATGATCGCCACCACATGTTGGGGCAGCTACCGTCTATCGTGGCCTAAGAGCTACTTAATGGGTAGAAGGTGGTCGTTGTCCATTGCAAGGAGATATCCTTGTCTGGTGGTCTAGTTCGACAGAAGATGAAGTATATGAGGTTTCTACACAAGCGCATGAACACCAAACCTTCTCATGGCCCGACTCACATCCATGCTTTGACCAAGATTTTCTGGGGTACCGTTCATCGCTTTGTTGCTTATGCTTCTCATCTTTAGCTGTGTTATAGTCCATTTATCTGTGCTAGGTTGGAAATATGGGTCCGTTTGTTAAGGAGTTTGTTGAGGCCTATAATTGTAATTGCCCTTATATAAGGGACGGCTTTGTAACTGAAAGTCTATTGACTAATGAATACAAACAGACTTTCCTCTTCCTTCTATCTCCTTCTTAATTCTCCCTTCTAATCTCTATCTTCTTCTTCTTCTTCTTGAATTCATTTCTCTTAATTCTCCTTCTAATTCTTCTTTCTAATTTCTGAATCTATCAAATTGGTATCAGAGCTCCGATCTTCTTAACCTATGGTAGCTATAGCAGAGAACACGAGGTTCCAAGAATTGCGTCGGGACCTTTCTGAGTTCCAAAGAAAACACGATGCGGATGTGGCTAACTTGGACAAGAGGATGATGACCATGCAGAATGCTATGACGTCCATGGAGAACGCTCCAAGGGAAGACATTGCTAAAGTCTTGTAAGCCGTGTCAACCGAAAAAGGTGCAAGACCATCAAAAAGCAATCAAGCTTCCCAAGGACAAGCGTGTCAATCGATTTACATTGTAAGATCTCTTGAAAACCCTCTTCCAAATGACCCTGTAGCTAGTATGACTAAGTTTGGTAAAGTTGATTTTCCTAGCTACGATGGAACAGATAACGGTGCCAAAAAGTTGATGCACTAAAATCACTCTAGCAAGTGTACTAGTCGCTTCAAGTAATATAATGATGAGAAGAGTGTTAAACCCACGAGGATTGTGTTTAACTAAATACCAAAATAATTAATCCAAATTTATTTGAACAATCAAATAGGAAAAAAGTTTAACTAAAAAAATAATAAAAAGAAAATAATAAATAAACCTAACCAAGATATGAGGTACTAAGGCATTGATTTCACCATAATCAATCAATATAAATTCTGAATTAATGCTAATTTATTGAGTGTTATTACATGTGATGGCGGATTTCCCTAAATTAATTAACTAGCTTTCTCAAGTCAAGTTAATCATTCACTTATTTGTTAAATTAATCATATCTCTATATAATTTTAAACAAACTAATGAGCATTAAATTCTATGGAAACCTCTAGCTTAAGAAGGGGGAGCTCTTAACTTTCTTCTCTTCTTCCATTACCACATGTGAGCTAATTACCTCTCGGTTTCATAGTCTAGCACACGATTTATATTATTGTTGGTATAATCTACACAATTCTTTCTCAAGTTCATGCATAAATTACTAAATTAATTGAAAGGTGATCAGGCTTCCAATGCATTAAGTTCAATAATATAAACTCCTCATGCAAATAACTTTAATTGAAAGAATAAAATCACAAAATCTATATTGAATTGATTAGGCTACATCATAGCCTTATTATAATAAATTAGTTCATGATAAAAATAATAAAATCTAAAATCACAATTATGAACATAAGAATATCTAAGGAAAAACAAAACGTAATTTGAGGTAATTGAAATCCTTGATCTTCTTGCTGATAAATCCTCTATCTTGACTTCCAAGAGTGCCCATGTGATACCCCAAAAAATTTCTAGGATAAATAAGTGAGTTAGGGACTAACTTGTGAGGAAAATATTGTTTTGGGCTTAATTACCAAATTTTCAAAAGTTGAGGGATTTAAAAGAGGAAAGAATTGGATAAGGACCGGGTATTTTTTTCTTCTTTCTTTCTTCCTCATCCCGTGTGTTTCTGCTCTTCCCGACTCCCCTGCACCGAACAACAAGAAGCTCAGCCCCGATTTCCCTCCTCTTGAGAAACGGTAAAGGCTTCTTGAAATTTTCCCTCCTTTCTTGCTCAAGAACC